CGAGTGTCGTTGCCCGCGGTGTGACGCGAGTGTCGTTGCCCGCGGCGATGCGAGTGTCGCTGCCCGCGGCGACGCGAGTGTCGTTGCCCGCGGCGACGCGAGTGTCGTTGCCCGCGGCGACGCGAGTGTCGTTGCCCGCGGTGTGACGCGAGTGTCGTTGCCCGCGGCGATGCGAGTGTCGCTGCCCGCGGCGACGCGAGTGTCGTTGCCCGCGGCGATGCGAGTGTCGTTGCCCGCGGCGATGCGAGTGTCGTTGCCTGCGCTGACGCGAGTGTCATTGCCCGCGGCGATGCGAGTGTCGCTGCCCGCGGCGACGCGAGTGTCGTTGCCCGCGGCGATGCGAGTGTTGTTGCCTGCACTGACGCGAGTGTCGTTGCCCGCGGCGATGCGAGTGTCGTTGCCTGCGCTGACGCGAGTGTCATTGCCGGCGGTGTGACAAGAGTGCCGTTGCTCGCGGTGTGACGCGAGTGTTGTTGCCCGCGGCGATGCGAGTGTCTTTGCCCACGGCGACGCGAGCGTCGTTGCCTGCGGCGACGCGAGTGTCATTGCCGGCGGTGTGACGCGAGTGCCGTTGCTCGCGGCGATGCGAGTGTCGTTGCCCGCGGCGATGCGAGTGTCGTTGCTCGCGGTGTGACGCGAGTGTCGTTGCCTGCGGCGACGCGAGTGTCGTTGCCCGCGGTGTGACGCGAGTGTCGTTGCCCGCGGCGATGCAAGTGTCGTTGCCCGCGGCGACACGAGTGTCATTGCCGGCAGTGACACGAGTGTCGTTGCCCGCGGTGTGACGCGACTATCGTTGCCCGCGGCGACGCGAGTGTCGTTGCCCGCGGCGACGCGAGTGTCATTGCCGGCAGTGACACGAGTGCCGTTGCCCGCAGTGTAACGTGAGTGTTGTTGCCCGCGGCAGCGCGAATGCCGTTGCCCGCGGTGTGACGCGAGTGTTGTTGCCCGCGGCGACGCGAGCGTCGTCGCTCGCGGCGATGCGAGTGTCGTTGCCCGCGGCGATGCGAGTGTCGTTGCCCGTGGCAACGCGAGTGTCATAGCCGGCAGTGACACGAGTGCCGTTGCCCGCGGTGTAACGTGAGTGTTGTTGCCCGCGGCGACGCGAGTGTCGTTGCCCGCGGTGACACGTGTGTCATTGTCCCCGGCGACATGAGCGTTGTTGCCCGCAGCGACGCGAGCGTTGTTGCCCGCGGTGTGACGCGAGCGTCGTTGCCCGCGGCGACGCGAGTGTCGTTGCCCGCGGCGATGCGAGTGTCATTGCCTGCGCTGACGCAAGTGTCGTTGCCCGCGGCGACGCGAGTGTCTTGCCTGCGGCGACGCGAGTGTCTTGCCTGCGGCGACGCGAGTGTCTTGCCTGCGGCGACGCGAGTGTCTTGCCTGCGGCGACGCGAGTGTCGTTTCCCGCGGCGATGCGAGTGTCGTTGCCCGCGGCGATGCGAGTGTCTTGCCTGCGGCAACGCGAGCGTTGGTGCCCGCGGCGATGCGAGTGTCGTTGCCCACAGCGATGTGAGTGTCGTTGCCTGCGGCGACGCGAGTGTTGTTGCCCGCGGCGACGTGAGTGTCGTTGCCCGCGGTGTGACGCGAGTGTGACGCGAGTGTCGTTGCCTTACAGCACCACTGCCGCGCTTGTGGACAGATCTTCTGCAGCAAGTGTTCGTCGCGTGCGTGCAGCATACCCAAGTTCGGCATCGAGCGTGAGGTGCGCGTCTGCGAATCCTGCTACGAGAAGCTGAACAAGTGAGCATTCATTTCTTGCTTTCAGTAGTGTGTGGGGGGCAGGGCGGCTGCGAATCCTGCTGCGAGAAGCTGAACAAGTGAGCATTCATTTCTTGCTTTCAGTAGTGTGTGGGGGGCAGGGCGTCTGCGAATCCTGCTACGAGAAGCTGAACAAGTGAGCATTCGTTTCTTGCTTTCAGAAGTGTGTGGGGGGCAGGGCGGCTGCGAATCCTGCTGCGAGAAGCTGAACAAGTGAGCATT